CTATTCTGGGGCTTCCGTGTCACTTAGATTCTTCTTGCAGTCAAGATCCATTAGGGAAATCAACATTGCAAATTTGACTCAAGGAGAACCTTTTACTGTTGAATATAACATGAAGATGAGGTTCTAATTTTTCACCTTGAAGAATATAGGTAAGCCCAAATCAAGACATTTAGAGATGTGTGCTAAGATAATCCACTACTAAAGTCATAAGTACAGTTCTGAGGGCATTGTTTGTAATACTCCTCGAGGCTGTTCTTTTTCTCTTGGGTTGTTCATTCTCAATCAAATATCGAGAGGCTTCATGACATGCTCTTTTAGGAGTTAACTTCTATTGTTCTGTTATTTTTTAATTTTTCTAAACTTCTGTTACGTTCTACATCTTTGTTATTCACCACATTGAAGAAATTTGTGTTTTCACCCCCTCACTAAAGCTACTTAGACCTGCACATTTGGCCCCAAGAACTCTTATTTAAGAGTGCATCATGGAACTGATGTTCAAGTAAGCTTCCAAGTCTTCCGAGTCATCTAAAGTTGAATCTTAGCAATGACAATAGCTTATCAAAGCAATGATCAATGGCTAGTCTAAGAGGATGATTTCAAGGCATAACTTATATCTATGCGCTTCATATTCACATGGAGGAGGAAATGAATGCATTTTCATATATTAACTATAAAAGCAGGGGTGGATCTATGAATAGGAGATGTTGTGTGAGTATCTACCGGACTCAAATTATCAATAGGCTTTCCAAGCACGTTGAAAATTCAGCCGAGAGTCGCTTCGTTAGGCCAAACTCTTGAGTCCATTTCATAAGGGAAGCTTTGGAAGATTTGTGGATAAAATTTCATTTCACTTAGATTCCAATAGCAGAATAGTTTCAACTTTCCACGGAAGGGAGGGATCCATATGAAATTAGCCGCCACTAGCCTCTGCAGCCTAGCTACCCTAGAGCTCTATACTTAGAAATCCAATCTTGAGAAGCTAAGAATGTAATTGCAGCCAGTAGATTGTTTATTGGATGCTACCACGGTGCACAGCATTGGAGAAGTGTTCACACAGCCATGATTATTGCTTTACTCGTGTGTAGGTCCTAAATCATTTTTGAAAACTTAAACCATGAAAATTTTGCTAAACAAAACTAGTAGTTGAACATAGAAATCCAAACTTTTATACAATTGATAGAGAGGCCTATTGGTATTTTCTTTATTTTGTCAAGCTCGAGCTGTTCAATTTGCTGTAGATAAAGTGCAGTTTGACTAAGTTTATTTAAATTATAGCCTGTTTTGGTGTAAATAAAGCATCGACTTCTCCAATGGACTGGACCTTGAATTGGCTATTTCATAGACAACCAAATTGTACTCAGAACCTAAGCTCGATGGTGTATACACAGCCAAATTGTACTCAAAATTTATAAAATGTGATGTTGAGTTTGGTTATTTTCTTACCTCATAGAGAATTAAATTGGATAATTGGTTAACTAGAAATTTTTATATTGTGGCATTTCATCTAATCAGCAGATGGCTTTAAGACCTTTTTAATTGCTTCTTTTCATATACTTTTGTTCCTTCATTTTTAACCATTACTTTTGCAATAACCACACAGCTGGCGTCCCAAACCTTGCAGTTGTAGAAAGTGTGGATGATGAGAAGGTACGCTTCTTATTAGTTATCTGGAGTTCTTTGATTAGAAGCCCATCTTCACCTCAAAGTTAAATTTGAAATTCTTAAAATCAATTTCCAATATTTTATTTTAGTTATGCGGTGATTATTTCTCTTTCATTGGGTTTAGTTGAATTTGGTTTATAGCATGCGTCAGATCCCACATCGGTTGGGGAGGAAAACGAAGCATTCTTTATAAGGGTGTGGAAACCTCTCCCATAGAGACGCGCTTTAAAAACCTTGAAGGGAAGCCCGAAAGGGAAAGCCTAAAAAGGACAATATCTACTGGCGGTGGGCTTGGGCTGTTACAAATGATATCAGAGCCAAACATCGGGCAATGTGCCAATGATGAGGTTGAACCCCGAAGGACTGTGGACACGTGGCGGTGTGCCAGCAAAGACGCGGGACCCTGAAGGGGGTAGATTGGGGGGTCACACATCGATTGGAGGAGGGAACGAGTGCCAGCGAGGTCGCTGGACCCCGAAGGGGGTGGATTGTGAGACCCCATATCGGTTGGGGAGAATGAAACATTATTTATAAGGGTGTGAAAACCTCTTTATAGCAGACGCGTTTTAAAAACTTTGAGGGGAAACCCAGAAGGAAAAGTCCAAAGAGGACAATATCTGCTTGCGGTGGACTTGGACTTGGACTTGGGTTGGGCTGTTACAGGAAGAATTTCTCATTGAGTGGTAATTGAACTTGGTGATTCTGCTTTACTAACTGAAATAACTAACGTGGGGGCCATACTCCAGAAGTCTTAAATCTGTATTTTTTTGAATGATTATTTTCCATCAGTTTTGGATTCCCGTCTGCCTTCTCTTGTCTCATTGGATCATTATGCCTAACACTATGCTTTCCTTTTATTTTTATATATATATTAAAATGGTTAACTTTGTTATTTTATGCTGCACTATAACTTTCTTTTCAATTTGCTTAAACTCTTTTCTCAGATTGCAAACCGCTTGGATCGGATGGTTGCTAGTATCGAGAGAAAGCCTCTTAAGGTGTTCATTCAAGTGAATACAAGTGGAGAAGAATGTATGTTATTATTACTTGTAACGATTGCGAGTTTCTCCATCTTAAAGTGATCGCCACCACTTAACTGCAGTAAATTTTAGAGATCTGATTTGCAAGATTTTGGTGCAAAATTTTTTGGAAGTGTCTTTGACCTACAGGATTAGGCAACAGTGTTTTAATTGTTTGCATGAAGCATGCTCTAATTTATCTTTTTAAGTACTTTATTCATTAAAAGTAATTTGTTAAAAATGCCAGCGCTTCTGGACACCTAGAGTCCAGCTGCCCTGTTCTCCTAGTCATTAAATTCTTTTTGCAGTATGATTATATTGCTTTTTGAACCCCCCACTTCTCGGTATAAATTCCCTAGAATCCTACCTAAAGCGTTTAAGCCGTGCAATACAGACAATTATGTTCCTCAGTTTCTTTATGCTATCTGATTTCAACATACATTTAAACATAAAGATTCCTTTACAGCAGATCTTTAACCTTCTTTTTTTTAGAATTTTCAAGATCAGAATTCAGAATGGTGAAGCTTGTCCAGTTTTGTATACTGTTAATTGTATGATTGAAGTTTTTTCATCAGATATTGAGACGTTTTTTTTGAAGTTAGGTTGATTGATAGTGCGTCTTTAAGGTGACTGGTGATGTTATCGGTTATGCGTTAATTTTTTTTTTAAACTAATCATAGAATGTTGTAGTCCTTCGAATAATGTTTTTCCTGTTTTGAAGTGCAGCAAAATCAGGTGTTGAGCCCTCTGGTTGTGTGGAGCTTGCTAAACACGTAAGCTTGAACTGCCCAAATCTTCAGTTTTCTGGGCTAATGACAATTGGAATGTTAGATTATACATCCACACCGGAAAACTTCAAGGTGATAAAACCCTTCACCCCAAAGTTCAACCTCACCTTGTCCACCATTCCTCTGTTACGAGAAACTTATCAAGTTTGTTGGCACCTTGTGTTCTTACCAATTGGTATATATTGGTTGCAGTTATTGGCTCACTGTAGGACTGAGGTTTGCAAAGCACTTGAAATATCAGAAGAACAATGTGAGCTATCAATGGGCATGTCAGCAGACTTCGAACAAGCTGTAAGAATGTTCATCATTATAATGCTCCTTAAGAGGATACCTATAAACTTGGCCTAAAGTAAACTTAAGAAAGTTGGTTGCTGCTCTTTAAATGAACAAAACGCTTCTCAATTTTTTTGACAGAACAAGAGAACTTGTATAGGCAGGACGCTTTATAGAACGATCACACAATCAAACTCTTATCCTTCATGTTTTGCAGGTTGAAATGGGGAGTACAAATGTGAGGGTCGGATCTACAATATTTGGGGCTAGGGAATATCCCAAGAAAAACTGAATTTTTCATGCCAGAGATCTTGCCTTGGTAATCATTTTGATGAAATAATCTGTCTTAACATATACCGATCTTTAAATAAAATATCACTGAAGAAAGCATCCAACTCCAGTTATTAGTAGCTTCCCGAATACTGTAAAGTGATGGCTGTATGTTCAGGTTGACACACTTCTGCGCCATCAGATGACAAATGAAGGTTTGCGTTTACGGAAATTTTGGATTAACTGTAAACGGTTTTTTTAATGATTTTAAAATAATTTTCTGTATGCTTTTACTGGTAAAATACCACGTATTGATCGCTGTCAACTTTTTTTTTTTTTTTTTTTTTTTTTTTTTTTTTTTTTTTTTTTTTTTTTTTTTTTTTTTTTTTTTTTTT